CTGGAGAGATAGCACTGTGGTTTGGAGGACCTGGGTTCAATTTCTAGCACACACACAAGGCAGCTAATAACTATATGTGGTTCTAGTTTCAGGAGAGCTGATCCCATCTTCTGGCCTCTATAGGCAAAAGATGCGTATATTACACAGATATTCATGTAGGCAAAATACCCATATGCAAAATAAACATGAATAAAAATGCTAAAGCATATGCTCAACATCCACTAAAAAAGAAAGAAATTCATAGATGAAAGAAAATCTGTAAAGATAGAAGTTATCTGATGAGTCAAGCTTTTAGGCCTTCAGAAAGCTGTCAGAAGTCTGAACACAGAGACAAGAACACTTGAAGAGGTCACAGCACAAGCAGAGATTTAGAGTTAGCAATATTCATGTCTCATGCCTGAAGGAACAAAGGCACCAGCCTAAGGTAACAAAGACTTTGACCTAAAGCAAGTAGCAAAAATAATTACAATAAAGCAAGTAGTAAAAAAGAGACCTACAGAATGAGGCGGTTTTGGAGTTTCTTCTCAGCTGGGCTCTGAGTTGATACTTGAGAAAGAAGGGTCCCTTAATGCTCCATGAATGACATGTTTTAATTAGATTAAAATAGCAATATTGCAGTGGTGAGCCAGAGGAGTAGAGTCTGCCATCATTAAGTTTATTGAATGGATTCATGTCTGCAGTGCTTTGGACCTGACCTCTGGTGGTCTATAATCCTGGTGGGGATTGAGAGGGCCCCATTCAATTTTAAAAAGGACTAGCCTTCAAGAGTGAGAAGAATTTGAATGATAGAAATTATTGCACAAAGTGCTATTTTGTTTCTTGACCAGTCCCTTCCCTATTATATTATCTGGAATGCTGTTGTTGTGTTCCAAAGCTGCTTAGCATTTTCTTCTTCCCTGTAAACTACTGTCTCCTGCATACCCCACCATCCAGTTCCCATCATTTCCCCTTTAATCTAGAACTGAGAATGTACTCAGCGGGGACTCTCTGATTGTTAATTGAACGTCCACTGTTGAAGCCTGTAAGGTGGTTTTGTAATTATGTCCCTGTATGTTTTTAATTCTTTCCCTCTTGTCCATATCTGAAACTGAAAATATCTGTTCAAAGCCTTGATCTTAGCAATTAGCTAAATGCTATGCAGCTGGTTATCTGAAGGCAGGCTCAAGCGCTTAATCATCTCTGTTTAGGTTTGAATGGGAGTCTTCTTGAGCGATGGTACCCATAGCTAGTGCACAGTTGCTAGAAGATTCTTCAGAAGTAGTAGTTTTCAAAGTGGGGTCCCTGGACAACAACATCAGTAGAATTTGGGAGATTGAGAGAAAAGCAAAATCCCATATCCCTAATCCAGAGTAGTAAATCAGAAACTCTGGGGTTGAGGCCTAGCAAGCTTTCGCAAATTTCTCCAGGTGTAAGCCAAAGTTTGAGAACCACAGTCTGGAAGAAATACAGTCATGGAGTTGGGAAGCCAATGGCAGGAAGTAGAAAAACAGAGTTCAGGGATATGAGGGTAAGTATGGACGCTTAGGAAAAGAGTCAATACATCTCTTTGCAAGATGAGACAGGATTTGTAAAGATGGGTGTTGGGAGGACAGCATGAAAGCCCTTGTCTTGCGTTTTGACAAGTTCCAAAGCCAAATCCAGAAAATTCTATCAAATCCTCATGCTGAAGGGCATTTACAGGAAATATCATTGTTTAGTAGATAGAGATGTCTCCTCCAGTGACAACTATGTGTTACACATGTACTTTCAATAAATTCATATTGTGGTCAATGTCCTATATTGCACATGTCCCATCAGGAGGAACTTTTTCATGGGGAATCCTTGGGAAGATCCTCAATCTTAGATTATTGATCAACACATTAAATGTTCCCAAGGCTTCAATATCACAGCCAATCTATGTAGATGGTGGGAACTTAGGAATAAAATATCTATCATCTACCAAATATTACATCTTCAACTTACCTAGTCACTTGTCAGCCAGGAATGAGTTAGGGTTGACCTAATTGCTCCTATGTGAGTTAGAACTGATGTCTTTTCTTTCAATTCTCAACATCATTCCCCACCCCCAGTTGGCTGGCATTGCATGTTCACATAAAGCTTTTTCTGATGTGGGCCTGCCTCGTCAGAATGGCAACCTAAATTTAAGAATGTGACTCAGAGTCATTTTCTTTTGTAGTTTTAAATAGAAGTACCATTTCCCCACTGCCATCTGTGGATGTAGACAAGGAAACTCTGATGCTTCACAGGAGACCAAAGAGGCGTTTCCATTTCACTTTTTTCCTCCAATGAGTAGTAATCACTAAGAGAAAGTCTCATGGGGGGAAAGAATAAATCCTGATAGGCCAACCTTTTGGTTGCTGAGTTATGGATTCTCTTTTTTAAAAGATCAATGAATGCCATGGTTTGTTTCCATTTGAGGAATGAAATAATGGGGCTTTGACACCTCCACTCTGTGGTCTCTGATTGTGTGAGAGCATGACCTCTAGGCACTCAGAGGATTTATTGCAGCAGAGATCCTGATAAATAGTTCTGTTGGCAGTTGAAAACCCATGCAGGGTGTTGTTCCTGGCACTCCCATGGCAGGGAGAAGTTGCTGAAACTGATATAAAATATATCCTCAGAACACTCTGATCCCACTTGGGTTCTAAGACCCAGTTCAGTTTTTGTCTAAGAATGTCCCATTTCTTGCCCCTCTTCCCAAGCACGTCCATAACTCAGGGTGTCTTCCTGTTACTTTGTGCCTTAGCCAGAGGTCATTCAAAAATGCCAGGTGACTTCTATTTTACTGTTTGAGTTCAAAGTGTAGAGCCCAGTGAATGGTAAATGATAATTACGTCAGTTCTAAAATTGTAAATGACCAATTGCAAGGTCTATTATGTTTTCTCTATTATTTTCTGTGAATGGGGGTGGCGAGTGTTCAGGTATGGTTTTCAACATGGCACCTTTTAAATTAAAGCCTCTTCATTGTTGCACTTAAACACTGGATGATATGAAAAGGACCAGAACAAAAAAAGGGACCAAGAAATCAAGGATCAATGGAGAAGAGTTGCTAACACTTTTTAAAAATATCTTATCCCACTTATGTTGAACAAAAATAATCTCCGTGACATCAAACTATCATGAATGCAATACTTATGTGCAAATTTCTCATATACCCATTCACTTATTCCCTTACACACACATGTGCTCACACACACACATACACATACCACTTAATTTTCAGCATACTGTCCACTCAAGGTCCTCAGGATCTATAGTAGCTCTTACCCTGTCAGCTGTCATACATATCTTAGGAATATACTGTACTCTTGTTATTTATAATACCCCACTATAGCTTAAGAATTGTAGATCTGTCCCTTGTTGACTACAGCCCCTTATTTCACTTAAATGCATGCTTGTGGTGGTGGTGTGGGGGTGGGGGCCAGCTAAGTACAAGGGTAGGCTGCTTTGTGTAAGCTTTTGTTCCTGCCTCCTTTCAGCACCAGACTAACCAGATTCCATTCTGTCTCTCCCCTCACTTTCCTGCCTTAGTGAGAACTCGGCAGTTGTCATTTCCTTTGTAAAAAGAACCATGTTCTGTTGCTTTTGTTCAGTGTGCTTACTTTGTAAATGCAAGAATAGGTTACTCTTCCTTTGTGCGTGGAGGGTTAACACATATCGGTGGTTTGGGTCATGACAAAGGGCATGTTTGATTTGTAATCCCAGCAAAGAATGGAGAAAGCCAGTGCATGTCATGTGACTGGAGGTTCCCATAGACTGACCTACTGTGCCACTGAGTAGGCCCTGCATTCCCAGGCTGCACTGATTCTTGCCTGTTGAACAGCCAAGCATTACCCTTATTAAAGTACAACTATACTAACTGGTATCCAAATGCAATGATTTCTAAAGTGGCCTCGCTGCTCAGCAATCTTTCCTGATGCACCTCTCCAGCCCCCTCTCTCCTAGGGGGAGAGGTCCATGTTGCTTCCCATCTGAAGAAGGATTTGGGGATCTCTCCATACCCTCCCTTTTGCTTACCTCCTGTCTTCTATTCCTGGCCTGTGTGCTTCCATTTGCTTACAGACAGCAGTATAGTGGAATTTCTTTTATAGCTTTGAGGTGTCTGTAAGGCTTTGCTGCTTCCCACATAGCCCAAACTTTGGGACTATTCACATGCTGATTCTCTGATCAGTTTGTGGTGGGAAATCTCATGGAAGCCACGTACCAGTTTGTATAGTAGTACCCTTTGGAACTGCCTACTCTTGAACAAAGTAGAGTGCTAGAGGTGCACATTTGGCTGCTTGGCCCAGACATGAAGCCCATTAACCTGCATGCCAACAACAACAACAAACAAAATTAACCCTTAGAGTACTGCTTCCATACATTAATCTGTGACCTTGAATTTTATTGTTGAACATTACTTTCTTCCCCAGTGCAGAGTACCACACAGGAAATCCATGCTTAGTCTAGACAGAACAGTAACCAGGATCCAAGGCTTTCTTGAGCTGTTCCTGGGTCCTTTATAAATATACTAACAGCTTTTATAAGATCCAGATGTGGCTGCTGGAAAAATGGGCTCCACTTCTAATGGGCTGGAGGACATAGGGTCTGATATTTTAGCCTTGTTATGAGTCCTTTTAATTGAAGATATCAGTTCTTTAAGGGTTAATATGAAATCAAGAAATTTGGTAATCCTTCCTGCTTGTCCTTCCTCCAAGGTGTCTGCATGATCCTCTTTAGAATCTTAGATCAACTCCTGAATGATGATGAAAAATAGTATATAAAATTATCACCAACCCCCAAAGCAAAGTAAAGAACAAAACACTGAATGGTTGAATGGAGAGCCCTTTGGCAATGCTTGCTTGATGGTCACAAGGGGTAGAAAGACCAAATGTTGTATTTAGCGAACATTCATTTTGTCCTCTACCCCACACATGGTTTCCTGGCATTGTGGAAGCTGTGACAATATTTTCTTTGTTTTTTATGTTTACCTCTTGCTTTTTCTTCTTCCTGTCTAATAGCCCAATAGAATCCTGCCAGAATTTCTACAAAGATTTCACATTACAGATCGACATGGCTTTCAACGTGTTCTTCCTTCTCTACTTTGGCTTGCGGGTAAGTTTGGCAGCATCTCTCAGTAGTACCACAGTGGGGCATGAGAATCCGAAACTCAAGGATAACCCTCCACCCATGACTGCTTTCCTAGGCAGGGTGAAGCCTGAGGTCTCCATGGTAGACAACTCACCTGCATTCTGGTGCTGGGACTGTGGACAAGTTCTTTGCTTAGCTGAGAGCTTTCTGAAACAAGGGTTTATTTTGGTTCAAGGAAGGGTTTGAAGCAATGGTACAGTGACTCACTGCTTCTCGGTCCTCTATTCAAACATGAACGTGTTTTTTTCTATTACAAAGTACATTCAAAAAAACTTAAGCTCCCAAATTTATATATAGCAGCATTGAGACTACAATTATCAGGGTCAACCAGGAATGAAGGCTGGTGGGATGTGGGGGTCAAAGAGGAATGGAGGCTGGTGGGATTAGGGAGTCTGTTCTAGATCACATTAATGGAGATTTTTGTGTAAAATTTGACTTGTGCACATGAGTGTGAATACACATATATGTGCTTTATTCATAGTTAGATTTGTATCAGAAAGGCCAAGAAGGTGAGATGACAAAAATCTTCTCCATGGGGCTGTTGGGAACCACAGAAAAATCACATTGCCTAATCATTCCCTAAGGCTATTGTGGCATATAGTCACTTCCTATAAAAGGCTGTCGATTCTCCAAATCAAGCTAGTGACTGATGTATAGGACAGCATGAGACTAGGTGAAGAGCAGAGTGTCAGACCCTGCAGACTCCATAGAAATCCAATGTTTATCTTTTGACATAAGGACATATATTAAATGCTGACACCGCGCTTCTCATTTTGTTTTTCTGTCTTATTTTCTCTTTCCCCCCAGTTTATTGCAGCCAACGATAAGCTGTGGTTCTGGCTGGAAGTGAATTCAGTAGTAGATTTCTTCACAGTCCCTCCCGTGTTTGTGTCTGTGTACTTAAACAGAAGTTGGCTTGGTAAGTCAGTTTCTTTTGCCTTTTCAGTGGCTCTTAGGCAGGGTACGTTAAGGATATATAGGGTCTAGGAAGGATTCTTGCGCTAGTCTGTGGCTATGCATAGACAGTTTTGCATGTGGCCATGCTCTTGGTTGTCAGACCTGGATGGTGACAGCCCAGAAGGATCTGCTGAAGTAGAGCTTTAGACGGTACAGTTTTATCTTTGTTGAAGTCCTGTGGTCATCACTGTCACAGCTGGGACTTCTGCAGTTCATGCTTCTGTCACTTGTCATTCAGGAATTGAGAGTCAGGACTGGTTAAAGAAGCCCATGGGAATGAGACCAACCTTCAGATTGGCAGGTTCTGGTGCCCCAGAAGACCTGCCTGCCACAGTTGGGTTGTGTCTCCTGTTGGGGTTTATTTATAGTTATAATTTCTGGGATGAACAGGACAAGATGAAACATCTCAAGTCTCTGGAATCACAGGCTACTCCACTCCCTCGCTGGGAGAAGGTTCCTCGGTGCTTGGCTTAGCAGTTCACTTCCTGAATCAAAACCAGTACAGTAAAACAATTAGTCATGAAAACTAACTAGCTCTGAGAAAGATTAAATTGACAGCTCTAAGTTCCTCTTTGATGCTGTCTAAGTTTTAATTAACATGAAAGTATTTTTGCTTCCATTAGTTAACTGAGGATTGAAGGAATTATTGGGAATTTTCTCTGTCTTTACTTGTAGGTTTGTTTTTGTTTTGTTTTGTTGGTGGTCATGAGTCACAACTTCATATTTTTCACAACATAACATATGCATGTTTTAACCATTGAAAACTTTTTCTCTTTTTGTTCTTCATGGACCCCCAAACCCCACCCTGAGATGCCTACTGTTAACAAGCTACAAACCTTTCTGCAAACTTATCCCATACCACACATAAATAAATGGATGTGCACTTATAGCTACACATTAGAGGGGTGCTGATGTTCCTATGAGAAATTGTTTAAAATAACTATATTCCACTGCAATTTAGCTCTTATAGTAACACGTGGTGGACATCCCTTCAGCACCATAATAAGGTAAATTTTATAGCCATTTGGGTAAAATTCTGTTATCTGCTTGTTATATAGTGGACCTAGCTGTAGGTACAAATGGATCATCTGGATGCTTTATTTGCTACTCTGAATGATATTTTCATAAACACTGTCATCCATGCATTTGCAAGATTCCAGTTCTATAGATATTTCCATATTACCAGAAGAAGCATTACCAAGTAAAAGAGCATGAATAATTTATTTTGTAGACATTGTTAGATAATGTTCTAAAAATGTTGTGTGAAGATGTCCTTGCATCCTGCAAAGCCCTGGGTTTGAAAACAACTGTCATATATTTAGAATATTCAATATACATCTCTAATATATAACATATAGTACTCACCTACACACTCTCCGATGCGTTTGTGTAAATGCACCTGTGTGTGTGCATATCCTCAGTTAGATGCCACCCACCCCCTAGATTTCTTATTCAAATCATATTCACTTTTTGCTGAGTGGAAAAGTTTTCTTCTTGGCTCTGAGATGTGCTTGATGAGGATAGTTTTCTAGTCAGTATGTTCAGATCATGAGAGCCACATGCAAATCTAAGGTGTGTCCTGAGTAGGTCCATGAGCTGGGGCATCCCAGCTTTCTCACCTGAGCTGATGATTGGCTTTCTGACCAGAGTCTCTTGTCTTCCACTCAACCTGTGAAGGACATTGACAGAGAGTGCTGTCTTATAGTACTGAGAAGGGCAGGAACCTAGGAACCTTAGAAATCAATAAATGATGCAGCCTGGCAGGGAGCATCAATGTTGAAACTGAAAACAGAGCAATAGCATGTTCGACTATGAAATTGATAACAACAACAACAATAGTAACAACAACAACCAAACCACAGCAATCAAAAGAACCTGTCCATTTTTGCCGGAGAAAAAATTTACTGAGATGCTTTTGCTTCTTAGTAACTGCCCTTGGGTGGGATGCCAAATCTTCTTGTGTATTAAGGAAGAATCATTTCAGCTCAAAGTCAGGAGGTTCCGCTGCCTTATTTAATACATAGGTTATCATCCTGGGAAATAACCATTAAACTCATGAGCCATCACAAAAACTAGTGAACATTCTCAGTCCTACAAAGAAGGAAAAGGACTATTAGGTGTGGCCATTTTGGGCAGCTTTTCCCTTATCCTGGAAAGTGGAGGTATACTGCCTTTGCTGTCTGGGATTTGGAATAATATGCAAGAAATAAGTTTACTGTAGTGCTATACAAACTTTAGAGGGTGGAGGCATGGTATTGCTGCCACCATGGTGATTAAAATCCGGAGTGAACACCAGGGGCCCAGTCTGTATCTTTTACAATGCATAAGCATTCTTATTCTCAGTACAGGACTGCATTACATATATATACACATATATACATACATATATACATATATATGTATGTATATATATATATGTGTGTGTGTGTGTGTATGTATGTCAGCTTAAGACATTCAGAAATACAGCCAGCATAACAATGGTGGGTATCAAATGCTTTAGTAATGGTCCCACCACTGAACCTCTTACCTATATCACCTCCAACTTCAGATCAAACCTATGAGGTAGGAATTGTTAATTACTCCATGTTTTCAGACCAGGCACCTGACGCTCGCACAGCTTATCTGGACAATTTACCTCAGTGCACTCTTTTGCTGATCTTGAGCTCCTGACCTTAACCTTGGAAGAGTGGGAGCTTTGAGGACCAATTTGGGAAAGGCAGCACCCACTCTGCTGCTTGATGTTGGCATCCCTCCATCCCTACTTACTCATCTCATAATGCTTTGCTTGGGGCAGGAAGGGAGGGGGGAGAGATCTTATTTAAGAGTGCACATTCCTCTATCTCTTCTTTCGCACTCCTCCTTTACCGCCTCCAGTTTCTAGAAATGCCACCAGGAAGCACACAGAGCCACCATGGTGTCTCCCAAGGCACTTCATCAGCTTGTGGATCTTACAGAGGACCAAAGGCTTGCATGTGATCTCATTCAGCAGAGAGATATAGATCAGAACCCACATCTCTGTTCTGTCCCAGCTCAGTTAGCTCTTCCTCAGCTGCCAGCCAATGGGTCCTTTTGTGCAAGGTCACACTTACCTCTTCCCAGTCCTGTTTTCTTAGTGTTATCCCCTGTAACAAGGGCAGCTCTCTCATAGGGTTACAAATGGGCTCCAGTATGGTTGTTTCATTCTAAGAATGTAATGCAAGCTTTGCTAGCAGGGCAATAGCTATCCCAGCCTCACTCTCTAACTTGCCTTCCATACTTTAAAGTGCCAAAGGATCATACAGAGCAGAATGGGACCCCACAAAAGGCAGGAAGATGGAAAAAATCTATGTCTGCAAATGGCAAGGCACTGCTTGTCTTAATTCCCATTTCTACACATGGGTTCATTCCTTTACAAAATCCTTACCCTGACCACTAAGATAAGTGCACCCTGAAATGAGAGGTGGATCTTATTTTGAGATATGAACAACATGTTCATCTGTCTGTTCTTTTAGGAACTCTACCCCCAGGAATGGTCAGCCATGTCTCCTTTGTGTGTATAGATGTTTGTGTGAAGGGTCATCTCCTGTCATTAGAGGAATGGAATAGGAGACACTTACCGCTGGCCAGTTGCCTGATGTGCCTTTTATTATCTTAGTGCTAGAGTCGAAACCTCGGGCCTTGTCTGTGCTGGACAAGTGCTTCCATGCTGGGTCACAGTTATATCCTTGCTGAACCAGTTTTTATTGAGTATGTATTATCTGCTTAGCACTGAGTTATGAGTATCACAGACACAGCCTCCCTCTTTGTTAGTTGTGCCATGATTTTAAACAGATTTTACCCGTATTCTCTGACAGAATGAGGAACATGATTGGGCCACCAGTGACTGGAATTAAGTGGAAAACTATACCTCTGTCTTATCCATTCTAGGTCCAATATTAGACCTTAAAACCTTCAACAAATTTCACCAGAAAACAGAACACTCTAGTATGAAATAGAAAAATGCCTTAGTGGCCAGTCATGGGAAAACCAACAACAATGACAACAACAAATTGAGGATATCTACTTAGAAACATATGAGTTTGTATTGTGTGTGTGTGTGTGTGTACACGTTCCAGAAAACAAGAGCAACAGGACAAAATGGGACAAAACATAGTTCCCATTTGAGACTGAGGTTCAATCTTATTTTGGAAACAAGATAAACAGACAAGAAATGACAGTAGGTAACATTGCCTACTATATAATTAAGTCCAGAATTGCCGTTTACAGAAGAAAGCCTGAGGGAGGGGCGGTCAGAGGAGTGAGAGCAGCACATGTTTTTGTGTGTCTGTGTGCATGCGTGTGTGTGTGTGTGTGTATGTTTGTGTGATGTGTGTCTGTCTGTCTGTCTGTAGGGGCATGTATGTATCATGGATACAGAGGATTCTGTGGAACTCTGAGCCTCACCTAAGGCAGGTAGTACAGGGCACAGGTGGGCATGAAAGAGGAAGCTAACTCTCAGAGGGGACAGGACTCCACTGCATGGAGTAGCATGTACCCATGGAAGATAGTATTGATAGAAAGTCTCTTTCTTGGGCTCATATCAGCCTCACCACCCTAAGGGATAGTTGTAGTTGTTTACTACTGACATAGAAACTCATCACCACAATGCTATGCCTCAAGATAGCCTTTGTGCCTCATCTCATAATTCTTCAGCTTGGAAGTCCAACTTGGGTCTGGTTAAGGTAAGATAAAGTTGTCTTTAAGGGCTGAGAAGATGGCTCCATAAGTAAAAATGCTTTCTTCATGAGCATGGAGACCTGAGTTCAATCCCAAGCACCCGCATATAAGGCTGGGCATGGTAGAGTGTGGTTGTAATTCCAGCACTGGGGAAGCAGGGTGGATCCCTGGGGCTCAGTGGGCAGCTAGCTTTGCCTAATTTCAAGCCAGTGAAACACCCTGTTTAAAAAACACAGCAATAGCAACTGCAGAATGATATCAGAGATT